GTCCGCCCCGCCCCGCCCCTCTCGCGAGACTTCCCGGCCCCCCCGCCCGCGGCCTAGTCGCCCCCGCGGGGCCGAGGCCCGTGGTCGCTGCTGCCCCTCCAGTCGAGGGCGGCCCCCGCCCAGGTCGCGGGGAGGTCTCCTCCAGCAGTCGAGGTTTTCCCGGCATGCAGCACGTGCTATGCCGTCGGGTCACGTTTATTCCCATTTCAGGGATTCGGCAACTGAGGCCGGGGTGTGCAGCGCAGGCAGGGTTCTCAATGGGCCCCCCGCCTTGCTCTTTAGCATCCCTAAGGCTTAGCTAGCCTAGCGCCCTGGGGACTGCCCCGAACGATCACTCTTTCCAGCCGGGCGGCGCGATCGTGACCACAGGAAGGTGGGCGCGAAGCAGCGTCTCCTGACGGATGATGGCGCGGCGCAACTCCCTTTTTCACCCCTACGCCGCCCAGGAGTTACACCACTCACTTCATCCAGCCGGAGCAAAGCGAAGACATCCGGCGTCACAGTTCAAAGAAAGCCCTAGTGACACCGCATCCGCGGAAGGGTGACACATAGTGTCAGCCGCTCTAAATTAAGGTGAAAATACACCTTCAACGCGCTCCCCCTGTTCTCTCTGGCTGCCGTTGCAGGTGGTCGCGCCGGCATCTAATATCTGACGAAATTCGACTGGTTTAATATCAGAGATTCGGGCAGTTGCTATCAGCATATCGGCAGGCTAAGTTAAACCGATCCCTTTGAGGAGTTAAACCAGTTTAGGCATGTTTGTATCGGGGGTGTGCACCAGTTTAGCAGCGTTGATTTCAAATATGCTTGGTTAAATCCACGCAGCTTTTCCAGTTTTAAAACACGTAGAGCGCCGTGCGATGCTTTAGGACGGAGCACTACCCCATCCAGTGAAAACGACAGCGGGAATGCATTCGAGGCACTTCGCCATTAGGCAGGTTGGGGATAGGGTGGGGCTGACACCCCTACTTCTTCTGTCAAAGTGATTACTGACTTCAAGTAATAAGGAGTTGGCTTTTATGTCTCGGCAGGCTGGTGATACCACTGGCAGCACAAGACCACTCGGTGCAACACAGGGGCCTGGTTTCAGACTTGCCCCCGGGAAACGGGGGCCGAGATATGTAACGTTGGTGCTCTATAAATACTTCAAATAGGTTATAGAGGTAAGATTAAGATGAGAGTAAGTGTTAGCTGCTACAGAGTTGTGGCCTCCCAGACTGCTGAGCCTGGCTCTCCCTTGCACATAGCATCCTTATTATCACAAATTAAATAAATGCAAATTCTAAAATAAATTCGAGAAATGTGAACCGGTGAAACTTGGCCGTTCATTATAATGACTATTATGACCTGCCACTTTTACTGCTCTGTTTTATTTTTGCAAATAGTTAACCCAAAATTGCAGCTTTAAATCCTGTTGAGAGGCTCACACTTCCAACTTTATCTTTTTATTTATTGTGCATTGATTACAAAGTAACCTCCATTCCCTGTTTATTCTCTGTTAACAAAGAAGTGCTCACTTTCCCCCCCTCTTACCCCTGAGCAGCTGTGACAGAAGAAACTCCAGAATTGTAATTCATTTACTAGCCCATGAAACCCGACATCATTCCCTGCAGTTCAGTTGAAGCCCTAATTATGGGTTACAAGGTTATACAGGAAAAACGTGTTCCAGAGAAAACTTGGTTGAAGTGAACTAGGCAGGCAGGTCCCGTCAGACCAACCTGGTGGCCTTCTACGACCAGGTCACCAAATCCTTAGATGCAGGGGTAGCAGTGGGCATCGTCTTCCTGGACTTTCGGAAGGCCTTCGACACTTCCACAGATGCATCTTGAGCAGGTCCAGGGTGGTGATCCTCCCCCTCTATGCGGCACTGGTCAGGCCGCAGCTGGAGTACTGCGTCCAGTTCTGGGCGCCACACTTCAGGAGAGATGTGGACAGCATCGAGAGGGTCCAGAGGAGGCCACTCGTATGATCAAGGGACAGCAGGGTAGGTCCTATGAGGAAAGGCTGCGGGACCTGAACCTGTTCAGCCTTCAAAAGAGAAGGCTGAGGGGGGATCTTGTGGCCTGTTATAAACTAGTCAGGGGAGATCAGCAGGCGCTGGGGGAGTCCCTGTTCCCCCGAGCACTGCCAGGAGTGACCAGGAATAACGGTCACAAGCTGGCAGAGGGCAGGTTTAGCTTGGACATCAGGAGACGATATTTCACAGTCAGGGCGGCTAGGGTCTGGAACCAACTTCCAAGTGAGGTGGTGCAGGCTCCCACCCTGGGGGTTTTTAAGAGGAGGTTAAATGAACACCTTGCTGGGGTTGTTTGACCCCAGTACTCTTTCCTGCCATGGCAGGGGGTCAGACTCGATGATCTGCTCAGGTCCCTTCTGACCCTACTAACTATGAAACTAGGCACAGATTCCTGACCTGTCATCATTTTTTTTTTTTTTTGGTATCAACAAGAGCAAAATGCTTTACTGTAACTGGCATGCTACATGTTCATTAACGAGAATAAAAGTGTCGCGTCAGGCTGTATTCCTGTGTCAATCAGATATGTGGTAATTGCATGAAATGAAGTGACACTGACCCCATTAGGCAAGCACGTTCTGTGTTGTCCACACCAATAACACAGTTTCCTCCTTCTCTGGAGCTTTTCATTTGATGAGTACACAGCCCGCAATAGTCACATGAGCTAATTAAGCCTCATAACAGCCCTATGAGGAAGGCAGATATGAACAGTTTTTAAAAAAATGGGAAAACAGAAGCACAGAGAGGGGAAGTGACTTGCACAAGGTCATGCAGCAAGTCACTGTCAGAGGCATAAATTAAATCCAGGTTTCTGCTATCTTGTGACCTGTTCTAGCCACAAGACACCTGAACAAACCTGGGAAAGTGGCTGGCAGCGTGATTCAACAGCTTTCCCTTCCTAATGCATCCCCTGCCCCTCTTCCCTTACTGCTTCCAGCATTCAGAGGCCTCAAAAGTCCTAATCTGTAGGTTGCACTGATGGGCCTGCCCTGCAGGAATTTGTACAGTCCTCCTTTGAACCTGGTTAAATTATTGGCGTCAACAACATCTTGTGGCACTTGATGATCGCCTACTAGGCCATCCCTTCATTTTATTCCCTGTCTGTGCATCAGTGAAACTGGGGCAGCATCTTCCACTCTCCCCACCGGAGATTGCGTGATGGTGTCGTTTCTCAGGGACGTGTCTGCACACACAGATGATGAGACGCGTGCTAATTTGATGTAGCCCCAAGTTGTTTCTTATGTCCTGATCCATTCAGGCAAACTCCTGCCCCCAGGCAGAGTCCCACCTGGTTCTGGCTTTGTGGATCAGGTTACAGCAGGGGTGGGCAAAGTGCAGCCCGTGGGCTGGATGTGGCCTGCCAGGCCAATCTATCTGGCCCACAGGGCCCTGCAAAAATTTAGAAAATAAATATTTATTTGCCCCTGGCTGCCTGTCATGCGGCCCTCAATGGCTGGCCAAAACTCAGTACGCGACCCTCCGCCTGAAATAATTGCCTGTCCCTGGGTTACAGGATCAGGGCCTTTGGTTGAAACCTCTGTGGGGCAAGGCCTGTAATCAGGAAAAACACAACAGAAAAAATAGCAAACAATACAGTATGTGTGTGTGTCTTCTGTGCAGATTTGGCTCCAAACAAGCTTCTGGTAAGCCAAAACGCAGCCTGGCTCCTCAGCTAACTTCCATTCCATCCATTGGATTTCTTTGTTTGCTCACACAGAGCCTGTGATAACAATTGACTATATTCAAGACAAATATTCGCTGTTTTGCAGACCCATCAAGTGACACAGTGACCCATCTCATTTCAGTATGAGGAGAATGGAAGATAATTTCTGCATAGGAAGAATGGTCCCGTGGCAGTGAGTTTTATTCACGGTCTCTTTACTTTAACAGCTTGTAAGAGGCAGGGATTTCCAGCTTTAATGGTGGAGAATTTTTGAGGCCCAGGCACTTGTTAGCTGGTTACTTATCTGAGACTCACCACCTCATTTCCAACAGGCTGGACAAGAACAACTTTCAGATTCTTTTGATCATCTCTGCGTCCATGTTCTGCAGCCTGTCCTGTGAACCACTCCTTTCCTCCACCATGCGTACCCTTGCTGTGAGAGTGCTTTTATGTTGGTCTCCCAAATGTCCTGCCTGGTGGTGTTATGTGGGGATGTGCCATAGCTGGATGTATTGCTCATGCCATGTTTGTGTGTGTCATGTTAGAGCTGTTAACATAATGGGCTGTGACTGCAGCCTGACAGGATGCGTCATGCTTAAATAAATCCACTCGGACGTTTCAAAGTAACCGGGTGTCTGCTAAATGTTACGGTGCAGTCCAGGATATTCTCGGGATATCCTGCTCATATTGGCTAAGCACAGTGAGGATCCACTTGGCCCACTCCATAATGGCATGAGCAATACTGAAGAGGCTTTAGACTAGACGAGAAGGGTTGCAATGAAGAGGAAAGGACTTTATCGCTCAGTGGGGTTGAGAAAGGAGTGGGTGGGTGGAAGCAGCCCAGGGAGGCCCTTGCCACATTGCAGAGTCCTGCAAGCAGAGGAGTGGAAAGGCTGAAGGTGACTAACACAATGACACTGGGAGGAAACTTGCTATAGTTATCCATCCTCCATCATTTTCTCTTTCCACCCTGCATCATTTGGGAACAAAGTGCTAGTGGCCATTGCTGCCAGCTGTCCATCCTGAACAGGAGCAAGGGTTGGGAGAAGAACATACTCGCTGGCTGGGGAAGCTGAACATAACATAACTACCGTGCAACCAAAGTGTAATAACATCTGATGTCTTCTTCATTTCCTTCTCCTTTTTGGTCTCGACCTCTCCCCAGACATAATCCGCCTTGTGCCCTTTGGACTGGGTTTCTCCGACTGTCCCGTAGTTTAGCCAGCAGAAGAGCGGTTCCCCTCTGTGGTCCTCTCACACCCTCGCTGTCCCTGCGCTCTCTCTGCTTCAGTTCCCACGTCAGTTTTTCTGCCTCCACCCAAATTTCTCACACTTCCTGGTCAGCACTGCTGCTCTGCCAAGCATGGGCTGTAATGAGCAGCTCCCTCGCGTGGCCCAGCCTGGAACTCTACCTCCATTTTAACTTTCCTCCGCGCAAAACATGTCATTTCACATGAGTTTAAATGTGTTCCCAGGTAATGAATCCCAACCGCGGTGCTCCAGATAAACAAATGCCGAGGCTTCTCCTCCACCCCCTGCACTGGCACTTCTTGCACACGCCGGGCTCCGTTCCTGGACAAGACTGCATGCCGAAAAGGCAGCTAGACTGCATACAGATCAACAGATCTGTTGCTAGTATCTCTGGCTACTGCAGCATGACTCACCCGTCAGTGCCTGTCAGCATCTGCTGTGACCTTACCGAAAGCTCCAGCACCCTCCTGTTAGGAGGTGGGTTGCAGTCTAATGTGGAGACACCAAGTAGATAGGCAGGGGTAGGGAAGCTGTGAGGATGCATGCATCCCAACCTCCAAGGGAAGGGGCTGGTCCCTAATTTTGGTACAGCCCTGACTGGCTAAGGAAGTAAACAGCTCCAGTGACTTTGCTATTTGGGCATGGTGGTGGGGGTGCTTCTGGGAGGCTGGCTGGCTGGAAGAGAGAAGTGCAGACAAGTAAAACCAGGCCGCAGCGAAGGCGAGTTCACTTGTGTCACTGTCTCTGTAGCTTAGATTAGCAAGGTGGTCACGAGACATCCAGCGTGAGGCAATGAGAGCTATAAATCACGCGGTGCTAGTCCTCCGTGTACGGCCTCTGCACAGTGCCTCCTCTAGGATGCAGGGCAGCCCCTAATGACAGTCCTTGGCTCTTCGGCCCTAGAGGCCAGGCCTTGTGATGCCCAGACCATCAGCATGTCACCCGGTCCTGGCACGAAGGTGACTTTCATTCTCTAAAAGCAAAACGCTTGCACCACCTGCAGCCACATGAAAGCAGGAATTCAGGTGGGGTCACAAGTGCAAATCAATGGTGTCTGGTCGGAGCAGTGTCTCTGAACATGCGTGAGCATCTGCTCCTGTTTCCTATCGATGGTTTCTATACGTGGCCAGGCTCGCTGTGCCAGACCTGCAGCTTCCTCCATAGGCAGCAACAGTCTATTCCCTGCACAGCCTCCCAATTGCAGCCCTGCTTCAAAGACGCTCACTTCCCATTGGCTCCGGATGACCTACCAACAACAAGCCCGATGCCTGGCTCCCTGTCTCCAAGAGAACGGGAAGCTTAAGAAAACGGGCTCTTGAATGGATCAGCATGCAACCCAGACATTAGACAACAGCAGCCTCTTCTGCCGCGCTCGCTTGGAAACAGCAGCGTGGGAGCCTCCTGTGCTGGGATGGGTCACACGCCGAGCGCCAGAAGGATGGCTCGGCCTCATCGTGGGGCAGCAGCCGAGGGCTCTGCTGGTCTTATTGCATCCATCTCATTTCTGCATTTTGGGTGCAGCTGGGCACTCCCCTGAGCCTAGCGCTTCCCTGCTGTAGAACTGCTCGATTGCCACCGGAGGTGTCCCCGCCAGCTGACCCTTCTGTTTAGGGCTCCCGTCTCTCTTTGGAGACTGGGAGCACTGGCTTAGACTGTGGTGACCTTCAGCTGAAAGGGTTAATGCCACGTTGTCTTGGTTTTCCCAGGCTGGGAAGTCAGCTCTCAGCTCCATGTCTTTAACAGCTGGGAGGTGCTCGAGGGATTTATAGGCAGCCATTCACCTTAGCATACTCATAGTTTCATAGTTTCTAGGGTCGGAAGGGACCTGAGCAGATCATCTAGTCTGACCCCCTGCCATGGCAGGAAGAGCACTGGGGTCAAATGACCCCAGTAAGGTGGTCATCCAACCTCCTCTTAAAAACCCCCAGGGTGGGAGCCTGCACCACCTCACTTGGAAGCTGGTTCCAGACCCTAGCCGCCCTGACCGTGAAGTAGCGCCTCCTGATGTCCAACTTAAACCTTCCCTCCGCCAGCTTGTGACCATTGTTCCTGGTCACTCCTTGCGGCGCTCGGGGGAACAGGGACTCCCCCAGCGCCTGCTGATCCCCCCTAACCAGTTTATAACAGGCCACAAGATCCCCCCTCAGCCTTCTCTTTTGAAGGCTGAACAGGTTCAGGTCCCGCAACCTTTCCTCATAGGACCTACCCTGCTGTCCCTTGATCATACGAGTGGCCCTCCTCTGGACCCTCTCGATGCTGTCCACATCCCTCTTAAAGTGCGGCGCCCAGAACTGGACGCAGTACTCCAGCTGCGGCCTGACCAGTGCCGCATAGAGGGGGAGGATCACCTCCTTGGACCTGCTCGAGATGCATTTGTGGATGCACGACAAGGTGCAGTTGGCCTTCCTAGCCGCCTCCCCACATTGCCGACTCATGTTCATCTTGGAGTCAATAATGACTCCCAGATCCTTTTCCACCTCCGTGCTGACAAGAGGGGAGTTCCCCAGCCTGTATGTACGGAGCTGATTGTTCCTCCCCAGGTGCATCACCTTACACTTGTCCGTGTTAAACCCCATCCTGTTCTCCTCCGCCCATCCTTGTAACCTGTCTAGGTCCAACTGTAGCCTGTTGCTCCCCTCAGTTGTGCCCACTTCCCCCCACATCTTAGTGTCATCAGCAAACTTGAACTCATTGTAATACCAAAAAAAGGCTGGGATCAGAGCTGTGCCCAAGGCTCGGTGGCCCAAGCATGCCTGTGTCTCTTGCCAGCTGCACACAAGGGAGTGATGTCAGGCCTCAGGTCCAGCCACTTTGACTCCACCCGTGAATGTGCGGGTACCTGCGTTCAGGGGGTTGACTGAGGGCAGTGTCAGTGTAAGTCTAGAAGTGAGTCTCCTCTGAAGGTGTATCAAGATGCCGTGACAACTCTGTAGTTACAGCCTGATAGAGTTCATAGACATGAGGGCTGGAAGGGACCTCGCGAGATCATCAGGTCCAGGCCCCTGCCCAAGGTAGCAACCCAGCAAGATAAGCATCCTGCCCCTCCCCATGAGCAGCCACTGGAAGCTGTTGCTACCTGTCAACAGCCCCAGTAAGACATTTTGGTTGTCCTGGTCCAGTTCTAGGAGAGAGGAGTAGCAGTACTAACAAATCAGCGATGCATCGTGGGCAGTGACACCCCATCCGACCCCCTTGCAGGCATTCTCTACGGAGGTGCTGAGGCCTCAACAGTCCGGAGAGAAGGACCAGGCTTTCCACAGCCGGGCATGAAGGGCTAGTGTGGAAGGGGTGGAAAGCCCACCTGCTGCTCCTCTTGCTCCCTGCTGCCTGTGTGCGCTGGCTCTGGCCTCAGCGCATGAAATCGCATCCCTGGTTTTAGCATCTTAGAAGATTTTTCCTTCCTGTGACTGAAGACCGCCAGCCCCTGCACAGGTCTGGACTCAGTGCTGCTGTGGCGGTAAAGCCGAACCTTGGCAGCCATCCTTCCTGCCTGCTTGCACAGCATGAGTCAGATTGCCGGCTGGGCTTTGTGCTGCAGACTGCACTCTCTAGAGGTGACACAGGACCATTACAGGGCTCTGCTCAGACGCTCTCTGTGCACCCTGAGTCTGCAGAGTTGATGGGAGAGCTCTGACTGTGGCTGTGCGGCGAGCGGCCCAGGCTTCCTTATTTAAGTCTGGAGTTTCCCAGGCCAGAACGTAGCCTGGGACGCTGGGATTCCTCTTTCAAATCTATCTCCGTTGTATTTTCTAGCAAAGGGCCTGCAGTGTGGGGGTGGAAATAAGATGTCTTCATTAAATAATTGGCAAAGACGAGTGATGATCTGATGATTCCAGCAGTGCATTAATAGTGAGATAACAGGCAGGGAGATGGAAAGGCGTAAGGACTGAGACAAGCTGATGAAAGATAAATAGATAGATAAACTAGTAGTGCTTCGTGTCTGTCA